ACAGCGTTAATAATAATAATAATAATAATAATAATAATAATAATAATAATAATAATAATAATAGTGTTTACAGGCGGATGTTAGCTGCGGTTTACATCGTGCGCGCTGCGATGGTGATGTTTCCGATAAATTTGATCAGGAAACACAGGGCCGAGTACCAGAACCGCCGTAACCGCTTGTCGCTCATTATGTATCGGACCGTCAGCGCGACCATAATCAGTTGGCTGGTCCGGTGCAAGTAGTACATTCTGAAAAAAAAAAAAAAAAAAAAAACGAAATCGAACCGATGTATAACATCAAACAACAATATTCAATATTATTATGTATACAAGTTCTTCTTCTTCAAAACAAATTCAAATAATAAAAACCGCGATAATAAGTATTACGGTATTGTTATTAAAATAATATTATAGCTAAAAACTAACACTTTCCGACGTTCGTTTTAAATATAAACTCGTTTGTGAACACGTAGTTTACCCACGTATAGAACTGAAACAGAGTTCGTAAATTATAGGTAATTTTTTCTTTTTTTAATAAATTCGTTCCATTCGAGTTCATTTGTAAATGAACATTTTAGTTTGTCTAAAGTTTATTTTACTAATAATATTTACTGTAATTACGTATTGTCAGTGTCGTGGCGAACATTCATGAACTACAATGGATGCACACCATATCATTATATTTTAGCACTCACTCCACGCCTTCATAAAACACCAGATGTATTGGTTTTACAATGATGTTTATTTTTTTTTTCTAATCTGTGAAAAACTTTCTACCAGCAATTTTGCTCCGATTTACAATAAAAACCCTTTTTCTAAATGGAAATCTGACTGGGGTGGTACTTTAGAGAAGTTATTTTTTTATTGTCCCAGTTGTTTTCATAATACACGGGAAAAACCGATAAAACACGTAGGAAAAACGGGAAAATATTTACAATATTAAATAAATATTATTATTAAAGAAAATATAAAAAGCATTTGTAATTGTATATTGTTGAAAAAGCAACACTATTAACCGAACTCAGATCAGAATCGTTTTTTTGTTAGCAATGGTTAATCGTTGCGTACAGATATAAAGGTACACATCCAATTTCCCCTTTATTACTACCTTCCCAACTTCTCACCTACAACAGTGGTCTACACACATGCGAAGTAAGTCCGTCTTTTTTTATTGTTATCCACCTGGGGCACATCCATATATGTACGTATACATTCAAACAGAACGTTCACCCGGAGTATTGGGAGGCTTGGTCGGCCCGAACAGACTATGAAAGATAAACTGATCTGAAGACTTTTGTGAAAGAGCAACTTTGCATTGCGAATTTTTTATTTTAGACGTTTTTCTTAACAACCTACCACCACCGACCACCGAATTTCACCCGTAATACTTAGGCGTATCGTTACATGTTCGTCATACAGCGGGCCCCAGTGGTTTTATTAAATATGTATTATATAAAATTATAATATTTTGTATGAAATAGGTATATGCACTATTTAGAAAATCTCAAGTGGACGTCACAGCAATATAACAAAAATAATAAAAAACAAACGGATATACTTCCATTGTTGTAGGAGATAAGTTGGGAAGTTAGAGGAGAAATTTAATGTATATCTGTACGCAAAGATTAATCATTGCTAACGAAATACGATTCTGAGCGGAGTTCGGTTATACATGTTTTGAAAGGCCTTATATATAAATATTTACGATTTGAAAATAATACATTTCGTAATTCTTCCCGTTTCTCCTATATTTTTCCCATTTATTATGAAAATCCTTGAGAAAATAAAAAATGATACCACCCTATTAAAATTTTCTTTCAGAAAAGGTGCTAAACTAGAAAATCGGAGCATAATTTCCGGTACAAAAGTTGTTCTCGGAAAATCAATCGGCTAAGAATCTAAAACCACGTCACCTACTTATTAGAATTTTAATTGTGGCTGGCGATTATCAATCTAGATAATACAAATTTATTAATTATTTCCCTAAATTCTTAATATATAATTTGGAATTTGAATTGAATTGAATGATCCAATTAAATTTCACGTTTATAGAAAATATGAATTTAATTTTTAAAAAAAAATGATTCAAATCAAACATGAATTTAATTAATAATATCATGTTTCGTTCATACATTTTGAACTTTAAACGAACGAACTTGTTTATTCCGAGGTTTGCTAAAAGGTATAAATAATAATGGAAATTACGAGAATAAAAACTATGACAATATATCTATATACTGGGGGTTTTACAACTGTGAGGGGGAAGGTGGCAATTGGTAGATTGTCCCATCCCACCATTGGACCATATATTTATTATATTTTAATATAAATATATAGTCGTCGAAATGTAAAACATTTATAAATAATACAATTTTGTTCAACCGTATAATTTTTTTTAAATTAAATATTATTTGAGATGTGGTGTTGGAGGCGTACTGAAATGATTAGTTGGACAGATGGGAAATCAAACGAAAAGGTACTTAGAACAATATTAGAAAAACATACATTCGTGGATGCGATCGGAAAAGGGCCTTTGAAAATAGTTGGACATGTTCTGAGTCTGACATACTCAAACAGCTGCGTAGTTTAATTATAGTAGGTGTGATAGAAAAGAAGAATACTGCAGGACGTCCTTGGAATTTTTATATATAGAGCAAATTAAAAGAGCCGCGGACATCAGAACCTTTAAGGAACATAAAGAAAAGGTGAGCAATCGATCGGAATGAAGAATTAAAGTTGTAGATCAACCTACGGATTAATAATAATAATAATAAAAAAAAAAATACATCAATGTATTATATATTCTGTACCTTGCCGAATTCTAGTCGTGAACAGTGGCACACGCATCGGCAGTATAGTGTTTATGAATAAACAAGTATTTAAATTTGTTATTTCATTAAACATATGATACGTATCAAAAACATGTATATCGCGTGTTTTCCGCACGATTACAATGTACTCGGAGTTTAGAACAAGACGTCATAGTGTGGAAATCGTGTGAAAATTATCCAAATGTTAGGGAGCGCGTAGTATAGGCAATAGGACATATTTTAAGTAGGCCGCACAACGAGGAGTGCGGACATAAATCGCAGTGAAAATTAAAGCAACGATGCTTTTCGGTTGTATACGACGGAAAAAGGCTATATTTCATTCGTTACTTTGCATAATAGCTAGGCACCTATACACCTATACATTACGCCATTATGGTATTACTTTTACAACGACCATATATTATTATGTAATATAATTTTTGCGTATTAATATTATGCGTCATTTTAATAATATTATTAAAATTGATGACAAACTTTCATTTGAACATTTTTTTTAAAATAAAAAATAAAAAAAAAAAAATTGAAAATTTAAATCGCCTTTAAATAGCTCGAAAATCAACAGAACATTTCACTGCTTCTAAAAATAATTAATATTAGTCTGAATATTAATGTCTAGTGAAAATTTCAAATATCTACGATTATTTTTGATTTAGTTAAAACAACGATAATAATGAAATATTGAGATCGTTATTACCGTACGTTTCCTCGTTTTTTAATTACGCATTTTATTTTATTTTGCATTATCACTAAAATATTTTGTGTTCTTGAAGTTAAATTTTTTTGGGGTTAATGTTACAAAATATTATTATAAATTATAACAAATAACTAACAATATAGTCTATATTATAAAAAAATTGAATTTGGAAGACTACGGTAAATATTTTTTACTTAATAAACATTAATTTGAATAACTATACCTTGGGGCAAAACCGTTAAGATAATATCGTATATATTCTACACAAAATAACCGTCGGAAAATTAATTATCAAGTAATTAATTATACCTATGATATTTTTTAAATTTTGATATACTTTTTGTATAACAGAGATTTGCACGTGCTGAAATACTATAAAATAATTATCATTATTAGTTCATTTTCAAGGATCCTGTCTCACTAAACATGTTGATATTAATTTATTTTATTTAAAAAATAACTATTATAACAAACTGTTGTTAATTTTCTTGGATAAACATTTGATGTTAATATTGAATTAGAATGTATAATTTATATTTTCAAGTATAAAAAAGACCATATAGTTTTGCCCCAAGGCGTTTACGGGAAAAAAAAATCGCATTTTCGAAAAATTTAAAAAAATTCAAATTTCACATAGATTAGGAAAATCATTTTACCATAATGTGACTGACTAGTATTTTGATTGAAACGTCCAGTCTGATTAAAATTATATTAAATTGTTCGTATTTTATACAAAATCGTGCTTAGTAGTCCGGTCCGCCTTTCTATTAATAGACAGCAAAAAAAGGACATTACAAATATGTATAGGATATTGTTTTTAAATTGTATACCTGATTAGAATGATTCAATGATATAGATTTAATTTTATAGTGGTTGTTATAGCGTTTTAATGTATGCCTATATATGAATTTTTGTTTTGCATATCAATTTATATTACTCTGCAAAAAGACAAGTAAAAAACAGTTCAAATCTCACTGAGCCCTGAGCACTCGTATAAGAGTGATCGTTTTAAAAGCCATTTTTAATATTTTATAGGACTGCTGTCTGCCGTCCATCTGAAATGTTCAAAATTACGAGTATTCATATTTTTGCGTGCTATAAAAATTTTGTCTAAAACTACCATGGCGTACCATCTGTTTGGTTTTGATTTTTATTAGAAAAACTGTTTGGGAGTTATCTGTGGAAACGTTTCAAACAAATCGTATAGTCACTGCCGGACAAAATAACAGCATCTTTTATAGTATTGAAGAATT